ACTTACTGAGGGTGCACTCAATCCCCTCGTCCAGATCATTGTATCTTTTAGTCTGCCTAACCTTGGTGAGACCTGGGAATAGAGCTGGGCAAATAGCTGATTTGGGACCTCAGTGGCCAAATGGAGAAAACAAAGGATTTTGGACTGAACACCATGTTGACCTTAATTGAAAAGCTCCATTTACTGCTTTGCTTTTTTGTTCGCCCTGCCCCCTTTCTTTTGGGAAGAGAAAAAAAAAGTGTTGTTTTTTTTTTAAATGAAAACAAAACAATGTTTATTTTGAAAAAAAAAATCAAAATAGCTAATTTTAACTGACAAAAAACCAAAGGTCGTTTTCTTCCATCTGGAAAACAAATTGAAGAATTCTACACAAACAAGTTGAGTTTATAAAAACTTGTTTTCTTTTCCTGATGACTCAAATATTTAGCCATGTGCTTTTGCTGGGAAATAAGCCTGTGAAGGGATTATGCCTGGGCAACAAGAGGAAGAGCCCCCATAGTGGTATCTCACTAGTCCGGGGCAGGAAATTCAGAGGGCAAAAATCCATGTTTGGTGAAGTTTAATATATAGCTCCTCCTTGTGGCAACATCTCTGACCTGGAGGGTCAACCTCAGCCAACCCTTCATAGCCTGTCATGTCTTTTAAATGCTTTTTTTTTTGTTGTTGTTGTTGTTCGAAAATTGTTCAGAACATTTTCCCTCTCACCATCAGATAATCAAATATGGTTTATCTCCTAGATACCTATGTTCACATGACAGACAAGCCATGGCAAAAAGCAATCCCAAATCCTTTGGTGTGACTGGTGGTGGTGAGGGTTCCTTTGGGATCACAAGTATGCTGGGATAAAGGACACCAGCTTTGGTGGCTTGCTTTAAGCAGGCATGACTTTCTCCTCTCCCCTGCAAGGCTTTACTTGATGACTATTTCTTCTTTTCTTCTAGTACCTGTCCCAGCTCAAAGGATTATTGTCCCAGATGTGACTAGAACCAGCTTTGATGTAACATGGTCCACAGAGTTTATGCAGAGCCCTGCTTTTCAATTCTTGCTGCTTCAGAAAAAGCAGCTAATATGGGAGACTAAAACTCCCATAGTATAGGAGTCTGACAGTCTCAGAGCTGGAACGTGGTGCCTTATATACTGTTGAAATCAGGACAGATGTGAGCAGGGAGGAAAGCAGTCTGGTACACCAGAAAGTAAAGACCGGTAACTCGATTCAGAAAAAAACTTAAACGGAATCCTTAGCCAGATAATAGAGTTCTTGAAGTCTTTGGTGAAGACTATCCTATATTCATAGAAAACATTGAGATGTTAGATCTTGGTACGCTAGGAGTGATTCATCTCATCTTACAATACCTGCCTAAAACATAGAAGTCCAATCTCAGGCAGTGGTCTAACCTTCCTCTGAGGTTGGAGGGAGGACCTTGGTGCTGGAATTATTTGGAGGGACTGGTGTCACCCCGTTGCATGTAGAGGGAGCTGGGACAGCTATCTGAGTCTGAGAGAGCAATTCAGGTGCCTGAACATAGCCACAGAGCAACATTTCAGATGCCCCAGAGCATCCAAGACAGAGCTGGCAGATATAAGACCTGCGGGAGGTCTGTGCCCTTCTTGAGAGGCATCCAGGGGCCAGAGAGAGCAGACTAAGGTGGTGGATCCCTATGTTTAGGCATTTGGGGTTTTGGCTACATTTCAGAGGGCTGGCCTTCTGCTGTTACGAGCTGATGCATACCTGTGTGGGCAGGCATGCCAGTGACTGTCACACACTTGTCCATGGACCACAGTCCATGGAACATGTACTTAAATTGTCTTTTTCTTACTTTGCAGCTGTCCAGAAACTTAGTGGCACAGTACGGATAACAAATGTGAAATACTCTCCAGGCTTTAGCAATACAAGCGGTGAGGAATACCAAACCTTTGCACAGCTCTTTGTTGATGAAGTAAGTGGGTAAGAAGGATGTGGTCAGTTACCAGTCTCAATGAAACCACGTGTATGACCTTTTTCCCATGAAGGCTGTAGGCCACATGTGAGTCTTACATGTGAGACCTTACACCCGTAAGGTCTGAGTCCCCCTGACTGTCTGAGACTGCAGGATGAGCTTGCAGCCGTGTTTCAGAGTGAGATCAGGATTTGGGGATTCTCTGGTGCCTCCATTTCCTCTGCTTCTCATACTCAGTTATACTGGCTTATTGATTTCCTCCAGGGATGTGGTGAAAAGTTAATGGATATTTGCAAAGTGCTCTGATATCCTTGCCCTGCACAGCAGCATATTAATGAACAGTATGATTGTTATTACCCTTTGTCGTAGTACCTTAAGGCTGACATTTCTTATAATCATCCTTGGTTTTGTAGCCCCGTGTGTGGAAAGGGAGTGGTTTCTTGCTAAGTCACCTCTGCCCTCACTTCTAATTAGAGTGCAGGATATCAAAGCACATTGTAATATCAGCTGTGCCTTTAATGCTCTCATAATTCTCAGGCATTGCCTTTGACAGCATTACTCTCCTAATTTCTTAGTGAATTTATCAGAAGTTTGTTCCAGCTGGTGTTTATTCAAACACACCTGTGCTTGGAAAAACCACCGGTTATGCTGGGCTGCTTTATTGTCTTCCCTACCTCCCCTTAACTGTCTGTGTTTTTAGAGGCCTTGATAACAGTGATGATAAATCCATCTCTGACAGTCATATGAATTTTCAAATCCTGCAGAAGCCTGCCCAAACTCTCACTGTGTACAGAATTACAACCTGTCACTGAAGTACAGCTGCCCGCAGCGGGGGCACTGACAGCGGCGTGTGTTCGGGCAGAGGTCAGGCCAGTGTGGAGTTAGAGGCGTCTGCAAGGAGGGAAAAGCATGATCCTTTTAGCTGTGCATGATGTTGTCTCGGCTATCACATAAGTTTCCCACTGGTCGTTACTGGTTTTCACTTTTCTGGATGTGTTAGCGGAGTAGAGCTTTCTCAGAGTTGTTTTGGCCCCAAGCTGTCACATCAGAAAACAGTCACAAAATGAGAGTGACGTGATTAGCAAAGTGAAAAGGGAACAATTCTCCACTGACCTCACTCTCATTCAGCATCACTGTCTGCCTGAGGCTATTTTGGAATAGCATAGTATTAAAATGGACTAAAATGAATACAGTTTCTTCATGAGCCATTCAGTCAGATATCTTAATCCAGAAAATAATTGATACAAATATATTTGGAAAATCTGTAAAATGTTTACATAAAGGAACTAAAGTAAGTGTTTGTGTCAGTTTTACCCAGTTCTCAAAGTTTCAGGCAGAAGATGATCACTTGTGATTATAAGGAGCTAACTCCTTTTTCCAGCACACCGGTTTTGTGGGTCAGCCAGCGAGATGAGTTAGTGTTGATTCCATCTACCTCCTAGCCACTGTATATAGGCTATAGTATCATAGCTACTGTACATGGCAAAATATGTTGTGAGTGTTTTATTACAAATGTTGTGTTTTTAGATGTCAAAGAAAAGGGAGTGTAGGAAAACAAAAATATCTGCGTGTTTTCTTTTCAGGTTATAAGGGCCAGAAATTGATCCTTTAAAGTAAGTGAAGAAAGTTTCATGGGCTTTAAAAGCACTGTCAGGTTCCAGTTAAATAAAGTTTGCCAGAGATATTTTTTTTAAAACCCTTAGGAGTCACTATCTGCAATTGAGAGGATTTATAAATCCTAATGTGTATAATGCTCTTTAGCATAGAGCTGCCCCAGCACTTAAGTGCCATGCGGTTTAATTGGCAGCACAGCAAATGGAAATACCGGCCTTTAAATAACGTGTAGATGAGAATGCGGTAAAAACTTGATGTGACAACTTGCACTGTCATTGCCCAGGCTAGTTTCACCATCCTGCTTGCAATGCAACTGAAAAACAACATAGCTAAGGGCAGGAGAGTATTTAGTCTTCTTGGGTTTTGCTCAGCCTGTCTTTTGCAATAGCCAAGAACAACATCATGGCAGCGAGGGCTTGTTCTCAAGAAAATGAATCAGGAAAGCAAAAGGTTTGAATTGAAAATGCATTCACTGAGGTGCATTAAATTCCTGAGTGGAAAAGGTTGTTTTGAATTTGGGTGTCTTAAACTTAACTGGTTGACAAAAAGTGTGAAACTAATAAATGATACTGCCTTATCAAGGTGAACCCCTCATTTGGAAGTGACGGAGCCTTTGTTTGATGTAGCTTAATGCACGTAAAATGATTGCAGTTAAAGCTATCTGAATGTGGAATGAGTGTTGATACAGGGATTAAGGCCGTTTCATTACTGCAGTATAATTTCACTCCTTTTTTTAATTTGAGTTTATCCCCAATTTGGGACATCCTTAAAGCTGGTGTTGGTGGTGGCTGGGCAGATTTGTGCTCTAGTACCTTCTCTCTGAAGGTGCAGCCAAAGCACGAACAGTGGGGAGGGCTTTTTTTCTCTTTCAGTGAAAAAACAGGCTTCATGTAGAGTTCTGTTCAAATTAATGTACCTTTTACTTACTTATTTCCAGTTTCCAGACTGCCAGTACATTCCCTGATCTGCTGGCCATGCAGGCTTCTGTGCAGGTACCCACAATAGCTCCAATAAGCTGCTGACATTTTGCCTGGGACCTATGGCTGGGTGGTCCCAGAAAACCCACCAAACATGCCACAGCCACTCATGGGGTGAGCCTGGCTGCCTGACCCTGACACTTTCCTTTTGCTCAAAAAACCTACTGGCCTTTCCCATCCCATTAAAACAGTTCTAGTGCAGCTTCTGGCCCTGAACTTGGACTTTATCTGCCTCCTGTTTTTTTGCCCGAGTAAGGGACATTCCCTTCCCTCGATGCTGGGTGTTAATTTTGCTCATGTTCTCTCCTTTTCTTGTGGCTTGTCTTCTGGCATACCAATTTCTCCTGGTCTGGCATTGCTAGTGTTCCCTTTGTGTGCTGCAGAAATTGTAGATACAATGATGGATCCCAAGATAATTTATTTGTCTAGTAAGAAAACCTCATACTCAAAGGTATTATATATTGAATATTTCCTTCTAAAAAGTTCACTCTTTCTTTTACTTTTTTCCTAGCCCCACTTCATCAACCATTATTTTGATAACCTAGGGTGTGGTACCTGTTGTGAAATCACATAGCCTTCAGGATAAAGGGTTTTGTAGTGTCACCTAGTGGCTAAATACATACACAGGGAATGTCCCCCGACACTTTTCAATCTCTGAGTCCTGCTTTGTGAGGAAAAACATGAATAAGGACAGAAACAGACCAACCAACCAAAAAAAAAAGCACAGACAAAAAAATTTTCCCAAGCCTTAGGTAAAAAGAAGCACCGATAAAACAAAATCTTCAGGACATAGATGAGAAGGGACTACTGGTGAAATTGGGGATGGGCTAAGAGGATGTCACGGATGTGTGTATTTAATATCCAGAAGTTCAGACAAAAACTACAAAAGATGAAACCTTAGGGCTGACCTCCAACTTTTCAGTACATGCTTGTGAAACAGCAGAAAGAGAGAGGAGAAGGGGCCCAAAAGCCCCCTGGCTTGGTGAAATGGGAGATTTGGGGGCTGGCAAGGACAGCCTGCGGTCTGCCCAGGCTTTTGTAGGGAAGTTAGCTCTTTCCATCCTCCCAGTTGTGCCTGCGTGCCCCGTGGGGCACTGCAAGGTTTGCTGTGGGGGACTTCCAGGTGCGTGGGAGCCTATTTCCAGGTGCATGCAGGGGGTTTACCTTTCCACCGAGTGCATGCAACACACATCAGCTCTGGTGACTCAGAAAAGGACTGCAGCATGCCTGCAAAATCTGGGACCATCTGCAGAGCTGGATAATACATAGCGGGCAAGTAGTTAGGGGCTGGGTAACATACAGCAGGCAGGTAAGTCAGGCTTGGCAAGTAGGTGCGCAAGAGCTGTGGTCACCTCGGAGAATCCAGCACAAAATGTGTGATGTCTGTGTGTGGGTGCAAGAGAAATGAGGCTGCTTCTCCCATCGGCTCCCACCGCCTAACCCTTGCCTTGGCTCTTCCCTGGGCTTCCCCTGGTAGGAGTCACCACCTGCACCCCTGAGCATTACACCACTGACATAAGCTCTGCCTTAAACTCATGGCTGAAATCCAGCCCTGCTGCTCCAGATATTTCCTGCAGGAGACGTGTAGAGGAAGAAGGGGTTGGAGGTGACCGCAGCGTAGCCCCTGCCTGCCCCCTTAATTCTGTGGAAAGTTGAGCTAGGGAAGGAAGTGAGTGGTGTACCCTAAAGAGAGGGCCTAAAGCAGAGCAAGGTGCTGGGACAGAGGTGTGACTCTCCTGCGCTGGCCGGCGATGTGCCAGCTCTCACCTGGGCCAAGTGCTTCTTGTCTGGCCCTTATGGTGTGGTTGCTCTGCTGCTCTGTGTATTCCTCCTTGCTGGCATCTCCTAGGAGCCCGAGAGCCATGGGAGGGCAAAGGCAAAGAGCAAGTGTGCTGAGAAATCACAAAAATTTAGGCATTTCTGTGGCTGTTTCCATCTCTCTGTGTCCTGCATTGAAGCTAGTGGCTGCTATGTAGAAGGAAGCTGTGTGTATCCCAGGCTCAGGAGGGTTGACAGGGGTGGCGTGGGATTTGTCCTTTGTGTGCTGCTGGCAGCTGTTCTCTTACTATGGACCATGCAACTCCTGTTGCACTTTTGCTGGCAGTTTCTAAGTGCAATTTTAATACCAATAGCTCAGAACAGCCTGTACTACCTGCCTGATGCAGGCTTGAAAGTTATGTCCCACACTTTCTGTTGCTGCACTTTTTATTTGTGTGGAAGAATTTAAAAAGACTTCCCAGACACATGTGAAAGATAGTAAGAAACACAGAGGGTCTGTGAGCATCTCCTGGAGAAAGGGAGAGAAGAAAATATACAACTGTAATGGAAAAATTCAGGATGTTGATGGATGGTGTCGCGCAGCCTGTGCTTACCCTGGCATCTAGTCTTCAGGTAATGGCTCTGCCTGCATTGTGGTTAGATGTTAGGGCAAGACCTGGCATGCAAACCTGTGTGTGTGCGTGTGTGTATGTGTGTGTGTGTGCCCTGGTTTCCCTTGGAACATGCAGGTAGGCAGGGAGCCCAGCACAGTCTTATCAGGCCCCTTGCCTGGGTGACTAGAGGAAAAGGACTGAGGGGAGCACTTGTGAATGTTTACCAGTTTCTCTTTGTGGTGAGTTTCTCAGAAATAGGTCTATATTTCTGTGTGTAATGTTTTCTCAACAAGTTTTTAAAGCTGAATTAGTATTAGCCTTGTGTCTCGTCTGGGGTTGGTCCCATGAGATGATGCCATCTGATCTGTGTCTGCTCCTCCTGTGGCTGGTGCGGGGCCTGGAGATGAAGGGGAACAATGCTGGAAATGCAAAAGCTGTTGTACGTCTGCCCAGGCTCCTGTATCTGCCCGGGTGCCCTACCCCATGGACTGCCCACCTGTGGGAGGAGCAGGAGATGTTCCCAGGGGCAGCTGCCCGCTGGAGGCACCACCCAGCCTTGGAGGGTGGAAAAAGAAGAGGTCGAACATGCAGCCTCCGTCTGTTTGTCTCTTTGAGAGGGGTTGGTGTTTCCCTCTGAGCTGGATGGTGGAGAGGCTGAGCAGCCCAGCTGCCGCAAAGCTTCACACAGCGTTGCGTTTTCCCGTCCCACAGAAAGCAGACCATCCTGGTCTTCAGTGTGGTAAAGGAGGCTGCTTCGGGGGCTATCATGAATAAGGCTCAGTGTTCTTTGAAGAAGGTGGCATTTTCTTTCTTAGTCTGCTATTGAATTCCAAGGTCACTGGGTACAGACGGTGAATGTTTATTTTATTGATTTCTCTAGACTGCCCTAAGTTCAGCTGTGATTTGCTGCTGCCATACTTTGAGGGTAGCAGTTCCTGTTCAAAACAGTATAGAGCCATCTCCTAGCCCTGCTCTTGGATTCTGAGGGAGGACTGTGAGTCAGGAATGTGTGCCTGAATGAGAGTCAGAATTTGCAGAAGTAATGTGATATTCCCCAGGGAAGACTTTAATTAAATATTTCTGAAATCAAATTGAGGACTGACTTGATGGGAGGTTGAGTTGTGTGGCAGTGCTGGTGGCACTGCTTCTGTTTTCTTTACCCTGGTCCAAGCATTTAAAAAGAGGGATGTTTACACTCAATGATAAGCAGGAGAATTTTGCTTATTTGCCTGGCTCTGGTGAGAAATCACCTGTGAAGAAAGGCTTGAGCGTGGTCTACTCTAAGCTGTAACATATCTGAGCTAAGGGAGCCCTCCAGGATATATATGCAGCATGGAGTATCAGGAGGCCTCTCCACTTCCATTGGCAGCTCCTCGTCTTATTGGGTTGCCCCCTCTCCCTGGAGGCATTTTGAGAAGCAGAACATGAGAGCTTCCCTGCAGTCTCCTCCCTCCCTTGCTGTTACCAGACCTGTGCCAAATGACAGATGAGGTATCTTAATTGCTTAGCTTGTTTAATATTCATGGTTAAATATATACCATATCCTTCAGGTGCTGTAGAGTGGAAATGTTATAAAGAAAAAGGTCAATTTTCTGCTGCTTCCCTCCAGAGTATGAAGCACAGCTGTAATGCATAATGCTCTCTTCTGGGCAGTGCACAAAGCCTAAAATGGAATTGCTTCTATCTGGCCATCTCCACAGGCATTTTGTTTTTATTCCAGGTACATAAATCTCTGCCCCCTGAGGTTCTTCAGCAGGTGGATGCTGGTCTGATTAAAGTGCTGATAACGGGTATTACTAATGGGAGCACAGTGGTAAGTTTCAATTTACTGATTGCAGAAGATGTGGATATCTACTACATCATCACCACTTTTCGTGATGCCTTTGAACACAGCTCCTATTTCACAGTTGACAAGAGCAATCTCTCCATAAACGGTAAGGAGCAGCTTGTGTCCCAATAGTTCTCCAGAGCTAGAAGGGTGATAAAGCCTATTATTAATCTGTATTCTTTGAGGTGAAAGTGTCTGTAAAACAGATGCATGAAAAGCCATTCTCTCTATATATATTGCTCCTGCTTATCCATCCAATAAGCTTTTTCAGAGAACAACAAAAGATGAAATAAGAAGTGAGGTACTCCTAATCCAAAAGGACAAAACCAACTGGTCTTTTTGTCTATAGCTAGCATTAATTTTATAGAGAAGAAGATATGGAGATGTTAGAAACAGTGGTCACAAATTGAGGGTTTTATAAGCTACCAGTGGAAACCCTATAGACAGACATAACTAGCTCTGTTTAAAATAATTTTGAAACACGTTACCCTCTGCTTTGCACTGATAATTTTGCATGTGATAGAAACCTCAAGAAACAAATAAATGAACATGTGAATCCTTCTGCACTGGGAGTATGTGTTTTCCTCTCCCATCTATGTGTCAGGAGTTCAGATGAAAGTCCACACCTTACCAAAACCAGCACAAAGGCTGATTGTACAACTTCTTTTCCTTTATATGTAATTTAAGTTGTTTACAGGAAACATTAGTCTCCTAACTGCTGTTGAATTCTGTTTCACAAGTTGATGTGTCATCTCTGGAAAAGATAGCAAATTCTATATCCTTAACATGATATGTTTGTCCAAAGAATAACATTATAAGCTGTCAATTAGAATCTCACGCAAAATGACTTCCGAAGCATGTATATGGTCTGCCCTGTACATTCTCTTTGCCTGTTACCCTTACAACTGTGAATCTGGAAAGTTATGTATCCCATTAATTAGTAAGATCACGACTATCTCGTGGTAGTGCTTTGTAGAGTGTGTGCCTCCCTCAAACCTGTGCTAAAACAAATGGTTTGTTTCAGGGACAGGTCCCCATAGAGCAGGTGGTTAGCGCTGCTTTCTGAGTCCCACCTATGGTGTTACATCCTTATTTGCACAGTTACAATTAGACCTTGGGGAGGCAAAGGGAAGTAAAGCGTATTTTTCCTTCCAAAAGTCAGAATTTTGGCCAGGTAAAAATTAAGAAAGGAACTAGACTGCAACTTGGACCAGTCACACAAACCTCCTGCTTCACTCATGCCCTGCATTTACTAGCCATCTCCTCAGAAGTGTTGAATGGGGGAGGCAGTTGAGGAAGACCCTGGGGTGAGAAGCGTCCCCTCAGGCTGTTGATCAGTTTAGGAGGATAGGAGCTGTGCGGCAGGGTGCCTACATTTCAGTGAGTATCTGCTGAACATCACTGGTAGCACAGCTCCTGGGGGATTTTGTCAGTGCCCTGCAATTAGCCCTCTAGGCTGTACTGCCAGTGTCCCACCTTTTCTAGACCCAGAAGCTGCCTGACACGTACAGTAGAGTATCACATCTAAGAGGTGTAATCCACCATGATATCATGATGATACGGCCATGCTCCAGTTTCAGAACCATCACATTTTCATTTATACACTCTCCACCTTTGCCTTTTGCTTAAATATACCCAACAGATTATGATGAGTGCAAAAGCGAAGAAGATGACTGCTCCCCAGATGCATTGTGCCATAACACACTTGGGTTTTACCAGTGCAGCTGCAATGAAGGATTTGCTGATGTGCATCCAGAAAGGCCTGGAAGAAGCTGTGAAGGCAAAAAAAAAATTATTATCTAATGGCTAACTGAATGCTTAATGATCTGATCTTTATTGGATCATGGTCACACTTGCCACAGGTCTTTTGTTCATTGTTTTCAGCTGGATCCTAGTGGGAAAATCTTGCAAGGGACTTTAAGTATTTCTGACTGTAATACTCTGTGTACTATATTAATATTTAATGCTGTCTTTGTAAGGTTCTTTTAACAGTTCTGTTTTCTCATATTTGCCACTAAAATTAGATAGGATTGTCAAGATTGTCAGTTATTTTCATTAGCAGTAGCAGAGGAGACAGCAGAGGTAATAGAGAAGGTAACAGAAGGCACTAGGTACGTGGTTTGACCTCTCTATGGCAGCAGGGATGAAATGTTGGTATTACAAACTACTTTTTTGTATGAGCCAATTCATCTAGCTTCTCTATTTCCTTAAATCACTTGTTAGCTGACAAACAATGGGTCTTTAAGCTCCTAAATTCTTTTAGGCTTCTTCAGTAATTTTTTTATAACCGCAGCAATAAGCTACTCTTTGGCTGAAGTCAGAAGTATTTGTCATCTGATACCAACTCAGTTTTGTTTAACCAAGATATTTAGCATTATGGTAATGAGCTTTGGGAAATACAGCTCTGAAAGAGCTCAGACTTTTCTTTTTCTTCCTCTTACATTCAAATCAGTAACTTTTTAATTTGGGGCATTTCTGAAAGCTGGGGAGTTCCAGAGGGATAAAAATATATATATATACAGATTTTACATGTTGCTTGGGAAATAGATGCTACATAGATGTACAACCCATTAAAATTATTTAAGAGAAGTTTGTGCAATGAGACACATCCTTTGTGTTTCACTGCAAATGGAGTTTATTATCTTGGTGCTCTCTAAGTCAGTGGCAAATAAATACTTAGGTTGTTTCTACCAGCAAAGAGCCATGGGGTAACACCAGAGCCTGTGCTGGATGTCAGGTGCTCGACATACATATTGATCTCAACCCATGCTTGCCCTTTTCCCCTGCTGGCTTTCTTCCTGAAACCATTAAAGATTGCTACTAACACATTTGTTCAGCTACCCACTGTGTCTCTCAGGACACATATGTGCAATGTGGGCCTGCTACATGAGGTTTGTACTGCACTCCCCCAAAATGGGTTTTCCAAAGTGCTCAGGGTCATGTCTTTTGCGTACCAACTGGTCACAAATGGGGCCAGGTTTTTAACAAACTCTGCTCCTGTTTATACCTCACATCCAGAAGTGTGCAGTCTCTTACGGTACTAGGCAAAAAAAAAAAAAAAACACTTGGTGAGCAACTTACAGCTGGGGATCTCTTGCAAGCACTGATCTTCCAAAAGCTGTATATATGTGTTTTACAGAAGCACACTAATTATTGCAGCTCTCAGGAAATAAAGGACTTCAGCTTTACTCACAGGCACTTTATGTATCTCTTGTACTCTTTCTTAAAAAAAAGCCACAGATTTGGCAGTAAGTAGACCAGGTTAAAAAAACAAAGTAAGCTAGTTTCCTGCCAGTAACTGTGAGTTTCCTCCTAAGGGTTTGCTCTTACCTTGTAAGATCAATTTGAATCTGTAAATTACAACAGTACCTTTATTTTTTGGCACTCTTCAGCATTTCCTATCAGCCAAGAGGCAACACTGACGGATAAGAAACCTGAACACAACACAGTTTTACCTGCAGCTTCTTTGCAAACTTCAACTCATGTTTCCTCCCCTGCTTCATTGGACTCCTCTACTGCTGAGCACAAAGCTCTGGAGGACACCACATTCTCCAGCGTGGTGCTGCCTCCTCTCATCACGGATCCCGTGTCAACTCCTGATGTTTCTTCTCAAGCATCTCCTGTTCCCCTTGTTAAACCTGCCCAGGCGGTTTCCATTAAAGATGCGGTGAGAGTGTTCTGTGAAATCGAGAAGATCGTCCTTACTGTCCAGAAGAGATTTTTACAGCAGGAGTCTATCCCAGAAACCTCCCTGTACCTGGGGGAGCCACGCTGCAACGTGAGCACCAGCAATGGCACTCACGTTGTGCTGCAGGCGGGCTGGAGTGACTGTGGCACTGAAGTTGAGACTGTAAGTCCCCTGAGCCGGTGAATGCAAGGAAGCCCTGGAACATTTTTTTTTGGTCTTGAGGGTGGGGTAAGGAGGGGAGCAATGGCAGTCTATTAGTTACTGAAATGTTGGACAAAGAAATTTCTTTGGAGAAATAAAACCTCTTCCTGTGAGTGGAAAGTTACCTTGCTGTTTGGGGAGGAGGGCGAGCAGGAAAGAGAAGGGGAATCTTTGGGGTCAGGCAGCAAAACTCAAGGGTTTCTCCGAACTGAGAGTCACTTCCCATGTCTCTCTGGGTTCCCTCTGCAGCTGTCAGAAGCTTCTCTTTTCTTAAAAGCATTTTCATTATCGTATTTAGACAAATGACCCAATTGGTACCAGTAATGGGGACAAAGAGTGATGGCTATATCTTTGGATCCCAAACTAAATGCTATGCTCAGGCCATGCCAAAGTACAGAAATTCCCTTGTGGAGCAGACTGAGGAAGAGGAGGAAGGCTGGTGGATTTTCGTTGTCTCACTGTACGGCAAATAAGATACTAGAGGTTTAATCTGTTTGATTTTTGCAGCCAGGAGAATGGAGAATTCCTAAGCACTTGAAGCTGGTAAGCCTGTAGCTCTATTATATCCCTAGATACACTGATGTTCACAAGTTGTGCTTTCTTCTTTCTGTGTTCCAGAACATGACTAATACCATAGTGAAAACCATCCTTCGGAATGATGTTTCTGTTCAGGGAGTAATCCACCATTTAAAAGTTGCCAGTCCCATTCACTGTGTGTTTCAAAACAATCTCTTGGCTTCCTCTGGATACACTGCAGAAGGGTAAGTAACAACTCTGTCTGCTTTGAAATGCTGTTGTGTGGCTGAGCGCTGCTGCATCGGAAGAATCCCCAGGGACCTTAGATGTATCCAGTGACAGTACTTGCTATGCCAAGTAGTCTGCCATCCTGCGAGTCCTGTGTTCAGGTGATCCCTGCTATGGGCTTCTCTCCTACTCCATCTAATGTGTCAATAGATCCAAGAGCCAACAAGATTGGCAACTGCCTGGCTAAACCATAGAAGGAAAATAAACCTTTGGGAGCTACTGGTACAGGTTCGGGAGCCAGAATTCCTGACTCCTCTTTGCCTTCCTGGGCAATCACGTGTAGCAGTAACAGTATATTCCTGCTTTTGGAACATAACAATGATGTATCTTTTCAACTGATGTAGGCATGCAGACTGCTATGTGGGTGCTGAGGATGGCAATTTTTAACCCCCACACATCCTTATTTGATCAACTTGGAAAAAAGAGAAGATATGTAATGCAAATACTTTCTTATGGAAGGCCCCATCTTCAAGTAAGATGGAAGCTAGTCCACTATTCACAGAAAATCAAACCCATGCTCACAGAAAAGGTGGCAGCACAAGCTTTGCTCTGATGGTGAATGTTCTCCCTTCATACAAGTGCACTTCCTCTCTCTTGCCTAGCACCATGTTTAAGCTATCATCACCAAACCCTCTTTCTGTTTCCTAACCCTCCAGACATTGCCTTTTCCTTTCTATTCCCCCACAAAGCCTTTGTCAGGCCCCTTCTCTCTGAGCTCTATAATTTTCTCATGTCCCTCACTTACTGTTCAGATTTATCCCTTCTCCTTAATTCTTTTGGCTCTTCTCTTCTTCACTAAGCTTTTACTGTCCTTATTTTGAACTTCAAGACAGCTCATAGTCTTGTGCCCCTTCAGCTCCACTCAAATATCTCTCTCAGCTCTATTTGTATTGCCAAGACATTCCAACCTTTGGCTTTTCCCACTTGCATTTCCATGCTCCCTACTTTCCCAACTAAAAATTCAATGCATTTTCACCCTTTCCTCTTGAACAGTGTCCTAACATCCTGGACTGCAGATAACTCTTCACTACTTGCATGCACAAGAGGTGGAGAAACAGGCACTGATTTATAGAAACACACAGTCAAATCTGTGGTCTTTAAAGGAGGTTAATTGTTGTTTCAGACTTTACACCATCTTTGAGGATTTGCATGGATCTGGACACTTCAGAACAGAAATGCAGTTGTTTATTGGAAACTCCCCAATACCAAAAAATTTCAGTGTCTCTGCCAGTGATGATGTACTGATTGAAGTGGGGATCCAGAGAGCAGACAGCGAGCTCAAGGTGGTCCTCACTGACTGCTGGGCAACTCCAACTAATAATTCAATGGATCCCCTCTCATTTGCTTTTATCAGCAACAGGTACAGCAATGCCACTTGCAAATAGCATGTGCCATACCTTAGATCCTCCAGTGGTGCTGACTACTGATGTGTTGCATTTTAAATGCCTTTTATGTTTGTTCTCATCATTCATATACACTGTGCCCTACCATTCTGACCGGTCACACCTTCTTTGAAGAAGGAAGGTAGGTATGAAAAGAAAATGTTTTCAAAGGGTAATGTGATAGTTGTTTGAGTTTGGTTCTCTTCCCCATAGTTTTGTAAAGGAATTTGTACTTTTGGCCTGAAGAAATAGGTGGGTTTGGCAGTCAGTAGTGAAAGAACATTGAAAAGTGCTTTATCTATTTCTCTGCGGTTCAGAAATTACCAAGAGCTTATGTGAATCTCATCAATGAAGGTGTAGGTTAGTTGATTCCTATGTGTTGTGACTCATAGACAATATTAATGCAGCCTCTGGTAAAAGAGGAGGTTTGTTCCTGTCTGGATCCCTGATCTCACCCTGATGTCATATTCCCTGGGCTCACCCACCACCTTAAAATACAGGATAGTCCTTTTGCTCAGTAACAAAAGCTATTCCTTTTAATATCATGTTCTTCCACTTTGTGTTTAGTGCAGCCAAGTTTAAATCCTTCTTCCTGTCAGTCTTTCCCTTCTTTTCCGCCTCTCCAAGCCCTTCTCAAATTTCCTATTCTATTTGGACGCTGTGAGAATAAAGCAGCAAATAGCCCCTTATCACCCCTGCACTGCTGGAGAGTTGCTTCATGGCGGGTCTGGCTGTGGCTTTCTAAAGGAGCCTTACAACCTCAGTTATGTGCTATAAACACAACATGCCTTCTATAGCCCTAGCTGCTATGTATGTTTTTTTCTCTTCCTTTTCAGCTGTCCCATCCCAAATACGTACACCACACTGCTCGAGAATGGGAATTCAAGCAAAGCGCAGTTTAAGATGAAAATTTTTTTCTTTGTCAACAATTCTGTGGTTTACCTACACTGCAAAATACGTATTTGTATGGAGATACCAGGAAGCACCTGCAGGACGGTAAGTGTTTTGCGCCGATATGCTATTTTTCTCCGACATGCCATATGCAGTCCTGCTATAGAATTGAAGGAGTAATATTTCCAAACAGGGTTTAAAATAGCTCTTGAAGTTTTCCTTCATTCTCTGCTGAGAGCAGAGTGGAGTGGGGAAGAACTGCAACCATATGGAAGTGTCTGCCTTTCTTCCTGTTCCTCATCCTCACAGTTAAAAGCATGGAGCTTGCACAGAAATGGGGAAATCAAAGTTGGGGAACCTGAGAACCAAACATTTCGCCTCTGCATAGGGGTTGCTATAAGGCAATGAACAGAAGTCACAATGAGATAGGCTGTTCAGAAATGTGTCAGCTCAGGCGGACGTGTCACAAAAAAGCAAGAACCCATGCTG